GTCCAAGAAGCTCCTCTTTCCTGTGCATCCGGATCATCAGCGAGGCCGTGCATCAACAAGACGCCGACACAGAGGACAGTGAGAACGATGGTTAAGAAATACCTCGAGACCATCACGAGCAAGTTCTGGGTGAAGAACACCTCCACCAACGTGATCCACATATCTGGCGCACCAGAATTCTCCACAGAGAACATTCACTGGCTACGGCCAAGCACCACACACCAGGTACTGGTCTCTCCCCGAGGCTTCCGCGTGCAAGAGAACCAGGCCATCACGGACGCCAACAGCGATGAGGAGGCTGTTTGGAACGCCCCAGCAGAGTCGTTCAGTTGAGAGCCTACAACAGGTTCCCCCTTACCACCTTACCGCCTAGGCGAAGGGGTGTTTATAACAATTGGACAACGGCGGTGAACACCATAAAACGGACACGTCTTGCGCATTTTGCCAGTCCCCCTTTCAATCATGTTCATGCAACCTTGTCTCTCGTAGCCCCGTAGCTGTTCACCCGAGCTTTTAGATCCCTCACCGAACTCTACCACAATGGTGACCGTCGACGCCGACCTGACCGCCGCGGCAACAGAAGCAGGGATAGATCTCACCACCGACCCAGTGATGAAGTACCTACGAGCGATCAAGATCATCACCTCCAGCGCAATATCTGTCTACTTCCAGGATGACACGTCTGTCACGGACCTCGTGAAGAAGCTGGAGGGCAAGTTCACCTACAAGGGCAACGACTACGACCTCGGCGGCGAGGACGTCAACGCTGTCACAGCACAATGGAACCAATCACAGTGTTTGATGACGGACTTCTCGGTGCCGAACTTGATGAGAATCCATGCCCACTTGACTGCTTCGCTGCCGTCGAGGATCATGGAGATGCCTCGGACGTCCCAATCTGGTGGCCCCTTGGTGACCAGCTGCTGTTTGTTGTCGACGATGAGGCGTTTGTCGAGGTCGTCCTTTTTGCGGTTGGCGTTGACTGTTCCCAGGGAGGTAAAGACACGCTGTGACATGATCTCACCTAACGTGACTGCGGTGTAACGCTTGGATGTGTGGTGTTCATGATACATCCTGGCCAATACTTTGTCTGCGCCCAAAAGGATCTTCTCGGGGAAAGTTCTTTTCTCGCCATCGAGCGTGATGTTGTTGTAATCTTTGATGAGTTGTGCGTAGACCCCTTGGGGAAGAGTCTTCGGGACGTTGTCCTTATCCGTCGATGCCGAGGTGGCTGTCGGTGTTGCCGGAGTGGATGGTGGCGACGATGTGGTTGCCGCCAGTCTTGCTTGGTATTTGGCTCTGGTCTCGCCGTAAAGCACCTTCACCACATTGGTCCGCAAAAACAACACACGCCTGGCACAGATCAAGACCCTCTGGGAGACATTCGCCTGGGACATCGCAATGCGGATGAGACAGAATGAGACGTTCCCAGTCATCACCCAAGAGATCATGCAGGACCTGACCACAGTCAACGATGCTCTCATGCAATCACCCAAGAAGAAGCAACGCAACGACCAGGAACAACAGCGATGGCGGACACCCAAAGGCCAACCAGGAAAGGGCAAGGGCAACAAAGGCAAGACGAAAGGGACAGGCAAGCAATGGCAGTGGCCGCAACAAGCATGGACAACCGCATGGCAGTCACCCGCTTTCCCACCTCAGCCGCCTAACCCGTCCATCCCCGCACCAATGCCGATGCAACAACAGCAGTGGCCAACATACAGCCAGACAACCTGGAACGCGCAGCCACAGGCCTTCCCGCCCGCGCCACTCCAGAACAATCAACCCTCAAAAGGCAAGCCCGGCAAGGACGGCAAGGGCAACAAAGGCCGTGGACGAGGCAAGGGCCAGCATTAGGGACAGCACGGCCCAGGGACAGACCCTGGAGCCGACCAGACAACACCACAACCCTCGAACAACGACCTTTCCGCCAAGGCGACGGGGTCACAGCATCGACGAGCATTTCCGACCAATACATATGGGAGACACCAACGACTTTGACATCGAAAAGCTGATCGACACCTTGCTGGACAGCCTGGACCCCAACATTCCGATTACCATCCTGATCACAGGCGGACCACCTTGCCCAGATTTTTCCGGTGTTCGAGCAAACCCGTCTGGCGCAGCAGGAGCAACAGGTCACCTCTTCCAGAAGTTCACGCAGATCATCCAACAGATCAAGCAAGTGCTGCAGCAGATCCCCATCTACATCCTCATTGAGAACGTTGTGCCACACACGAACGTGCAGCAGGACATCCTGGAGTTATCGAGACAACTCGGCATTAACCCCATCATCGTGGATGCAGAGGACGGTGGCATCATACATCGCAAACGACTGTGGTGGTTGTCGGTGGAATGGGACAAAGTCAAGCCACAGCTGGTGGCCAACACCCCGTGGGATCTCCACTGGACACAGACGGACACACCGTGGCCCCGCCTTCACAACCCCATTGCGAAAACTCTACAACCACCACTTGACACCAAGCACTTCACAGCGCCCGCGATCCTACAGAAAGGAGGCCTGTTCCACTGTTTGACCACACCAGCGCCGGACGAACACGGCAGACCAGCGCCCCAACATTGCAATGAGAAACCCGACACGATCCAAAGGTGGCAGGCAGATCACCAACGGTTCGCACCATGGCAATACCAACATAAGTACCTCGTGTCCGATGCGGACGGACACAAACACCTGGCGCCTGCCAACATGAGGGAACAGATGATGGGTTTCGATGGACAGCGCACAGCCAACATGACACCAGACAAGACCGAGTACCACCGGAACAAGGCATTAGGCAACACATGGCACACCCCATCGGCCATTTGGCTTCTGCTACTAATGGTGATGGATACCACACATACACCCACCACAGCCATTCCCATCTCACGCATACAGCGAGCCACAAGCGTCTGGTTGGCCACGAGCACCTCATTTGGACCACCGCCGAAGCCCACACACCATCTCTATATGCCACAGTTCTGCTGGCGAGAACACACACAACGGACACAATCGCTGGACACATCCCACACACCAAAGCCCCTCGACCCGACACTGGAATGGGTCATACAGCATTCACATCTATTTCACCCGGTGGCAGATTTCCGAGAACAAGTGGTACTCGAGATCCGCCGATTGGTCGAGGACATGCAAGAGTTGACTGACGACTGGCTCCGCGATCTACCACAACACGTACAAAAAGCATACACCGCGAGGAAGCAAGTCACACAAGTGCCAGTGTTCACCAGCCTGTTACGACAAATCGATTACCCACAAGCCGACATATACTACACCAGGAACTTTCTTCAGGATTTCGCCTCATGGGACAGCTTCAGCCGGGAACCAATTGGTACCTCCGATCGGACAACAAGTACCTCATGCCGAAAACGCAGGAAGAATTCTCGGAGCACAACGACCACTTCGTCCGGCGAAAGCTACAACAAGCCAGAGTCGATGACCATTACGAGATGATGCTTGAAGAGATCGTGCAGGAGGTCAAGATGGGGAGGATGAATGGCCCATTCACAGCACCACCGCATTGGGAACACCAGACAATAACCCCGAGCAAACATCCAGAACTTCGGCTGCTGCCAATACCACACTCCACACCAGCAATAGCTCTGGCGTTCAGCATACAACAAACCGGGTCCGACGGCAAAGAGAAGATCCGACGAGGCGAGGATTGGCGCAGCAGCGGACACAACGCAACGTGCATCATGCGCGATCAACCTTACCAACCCTGACCAGCTCCTACACGTGTGGGGACACGATCATGACGGAGCCTACAGACAACTACCTCTCGACCAACCGGAACAAGCTTACGTCCTACTCCACACGCCGGAAGGGCCCACCCTTTGGAGCCACAACGTCCTCCTCTTCGGATCCTCAGCCAGCGTCTGGGGATACAACAGATTCGGCGATGCCATGGTGTCGGTGTCAAGGCTGATCCTCCTTTGCCCGACGATGCACTACGTCGACGACTATGGTAGCGCCGAGGCATCACACCAAGCAGATTCGGGCTTTCGATCCTTCGAAGATTTCAACGGGGCCCTGGGCTACAACATGAAGACCAGCAAAAGACAACCACCAGCATCCAGCCACAAGATCCAAGGTGTGATCATCAGCACGGACACGAACCACATCACACTTACCCCTTGCCCACAACGTGTAGAGCGCATGTGCTCGGACATCACAGCAAGCATCCAGTGCAACACCCTCGAACCGGACCAGGCCCGCAGAATGGCAGGCAAGTGCAACTTTCTCACGGGTCGCCTATTCGGCAAAGTCGGGAGGGCTCCGCTCAAGGCCATCTACTCCAGAGCACACAGTAACATATCTCACCTTGATAAACCCACCAAATCCGCATTATACGCCCT